AAACCGGGTCCAGCCTCCCCTGCTAGTACTCAAACTGGAAACTTTCCAAAAAATGAAACCTTGAAGTGCTAATAAAAAGGGTGACTTTGAAATCAGAACATATAAAACTTTCTACGTGATTGATCTTAATGCACAAATGTATGGGGACTGAGATGAAAGTGCTCAGTCGTGAGTATCTTTTAACCAGGCGCAAAAGGAAAACTGTCCCTCAGTATTTAGCGAAGCTAAAACTTTGTTACAGGCCCAGGTTTTGGAAAACCAAATGAAGTTCTTTCTTTGCCAGTCCGCCTGGATAAGCCTACTCAGGCTCTGTTTGATCTGTCTACATTGATGCCTGGTCGCTGTATCTTCGCCTCTGAACACTCTTGCATTCCTTGCTGCCCATATGACCTCCATTACAACTCCTCTGCAGCAGAGTGCTACATAGCCCCAGCCTGATGAATACGACATCCCCCGAGGGAGTATTCCTGTTAGCATCCAGGAGTCTGTCCAATCCAGGGCCCCTTCTGTCATGGCCACCCAGTGGTGTTTCCACCACCTCAGCAGTGTGTCCACCAGTGGGCAGCCAAGCCAAAGGTGTCTCGTATTTTCCCAACCCCAGTTACATCTTATACAGCGGGAGTCCATCTCCATCCCTCTTGCGGACAACCATACTGCCGTCGCCGTTACCTTCAGTGATTGTAGCCACATCAAGCTGGCCTGTTTCTGGACCGGATACTTAATTAAGGCACTCCACGGGATATCCAGACTCTGTTGCGTCACATCCATTAATTGATGAAATTCCTCTCTTCTTATGGCCAGCTCCAGCGGGGTTTTCTGCAGTTGATTTTGCAGAAACTGAACTCCAATTTTAGGTCGGTACTGGGCTAGTGGGTGAACTTTCCCCCCGGACCCCTGTTCCTCCCAGACCTGTAGTAGAGGTTCTACCTCAAATCTGCTGGCTAAGCCTAGCATTACAGCCGGTGAACGCCTGCTGTTGCTCTCGAGAACTCGTACCTCCAGCATGTCTTTTGTGTTATCCATCCGATAGTTATCCTCCTCCATGGTCAAGTTACCCCTTGCTCCGGATCTGTTGGACAGCTTCCACCTCTGCAGTCTCATACCGGAGGCCAAATCTGGTCCCAGGACCTTGAATACTTGGTTGTGTTGCTCATCCTCAATAAGCCAGGTGCCTGCTGCGTGCTCCGCTTCAGGCTGTAACAATAAGCCAGGTGCCTGCTGCGTGCTCCGCTTCAGGCTGTAACAGGTTCACCCAGGCTGTCGGGATGGCTTCTTTCAAAGCTGTGTAGTGCGCTTGAACTCTATGCAGTCTCGGAAGGCGCGCTCTGAGTTGGGTGAGATCTATAAAGGTCGATCTTTCCCGGTCCCAGATGTCCACTACTTGCACCACGCCTTTCTTGATCCAACTCAATCCAAAGTTACCTGCCACATCTGCTGCAGGGGCTTCAACCCGGTTCCCGGCACGTGCGGCTCCCCACGCGCGGCTTTGTCTGAAGACACGCCGTGCTGAAACATATTTGACAACACGTACAAAAAGAGATTTTGAGATACCGGGGACTTCAACCCGGCTTTGTCTGAAGAATAAGATCATGAGCAAGTACTAGCCTATTGGCACCCAGAAGATAGGCTAAAATTAAGACCAAGTCTGAAAAAGTCTGAAAAGATATGAGAAGTTTCCTTCTAAGCTCCACAAAGAGACTAAAGGAAACCTTCTTTTTTTTTTTAAGCTACCCGGGCCATTACCCGACTTTGGCTAAGAGAATTCTGGAGTTTTAGAAGCAAAAATCGCAATCACAAAGGTCCTATAAATGCTCAAAACCCTGGGGATCCCTAGCAAATCCTTTTTAAAATTCTCCAACTATGTCTTAGGGCGTGGCCACACCACTCATGAAATGTGCAAATTGAGAATGAACTTCCTGCTAGAACGTGGCCAGATGCGCCCGCCAAATTTTTGTCTTTTGCACATTTCGAGAGTGGTGTGGGGAGGCCCTTACTGTCCACTGTACATGTGCAAAATGGCTTGGACTGTGTTCAGAAACCCGGTGGAAAAAAAAAGAAAGAAAAGAAAAGAAACCCAGTGGAAAATAGACTGTCCGTGAATGTACAGCTCCCAGCCTACAAAATTTGTTACGCCCAAAGGACTTCACCGGACCCACGGTGAGGAAGAGAATTTGGAGAGTGCACCTGGACTTGGGGGGGACGAAACCCCATGGACACCCTGTCTACAGTCTTCCCCTGAATACAATGTACGGTCATTATAGCTGAATTTGGCGTATCTTTCGGTCTAAATTCAGCTATAATGACCGTACCTTGTATTCGGGGGAAGACTGTAGTAGTTATATCACTGCGTCTGGTAGTGAACTCACGAATTTGAGAGGTGTACAGCAGACAGTAAGTGGAGTGGAGCGATGATGGAGAGATGCGGAGTTTTCCCCAATTATGATTTTGAACACTCATACTGCTGTCCATGAAGTGTCCACAAATTCGTACAGCGGACGGTAGTGGAGCGAGGCCCATTGGTGGGTTGAGGGGGGGGTAGGGGGAGGTGCAGTGAATGGCCATTGCTCGGTGCTAGCACGGCGTATTTCCCCAATGATCGGCAATGCCTGCCCACCCCTCCTCAACGTGATGAGGGACTGTGTTACATGCTGCACATGCACACACGGGCCATTTTGCAGGTCCGACGTCGTTCAGGCCAAAAACCTGAATTTCGGGCTTTAAGCCTGATATCCAAGGCTTACAGGCCCCGCCGACGGTTCAGCCTGACAGCCCGAGAAAGGACCTACAGGCTCCAGCCTGTTTCCCTACAGGGAAACTTCCAGGCTCTTGCCTAGAAGCTTCCTTCTGACAGCCCGAGAAAGGACCTACAGGCTCCAGCCTGTTTCCCTACAGGGAAACTTCCAGGCTCTTGCCTGGAAGCTTCCTTCTGAGAGGGCCTACAGGCCCCAGCCTATTTCCCTACAGGGAAACTTCCAGGCTCTTGCCTGGAAGCTTCC